TTTTAAATACTCATAACTACTTATAACTCAAAATTAATTAGAAGCACTCGATAATATCGTTACCTTTAAATTTTATAAGAGRTCAATTCACTCTAAATTTTAAACTAACAGAGCTACACGTGATCTGCTGAACGTAATTGCTTTGTTAAGCACTTGTAAGACGTAAACAACACAAGCGGGTATAACGTCCTCTTAAATAACCCAACATTAAAACTAATATTCTCTTTTTCTGTGAGATAATTTTAATAACYAACGAGTTGAGAGCAGCGATTGCGTTAAACATATTTTATTCCACGCCTATTATAATTAATAATATTATTATTAGTGTTATTATTTTTATTTTTTTTATATTCAATATTGTTCAACGCTTGGAAGTGTGTTTGAATAAAATAGACTATTATAATTCTCTTTCTACGTGAATCCTATGATATTCATTAAATAATAAACATTGCCGGCTACAATGGTTACATGGCACAGCGAAATTATAATAATTACGTTTTATTGATCGTACAACATCGATCGGTAGAGAACTTTTCTCAGTAACCTTCAACGGGGTCTATAAAAACATAAAATAATGTATCCGAACATTACATACTCACCTGTACGGATATCATATTTATGTATAATATAGTTGTATATATTGCGTAAGCGTAATATATCATAATATTATAAACTATCGAGTATTCTATTTTCGTCACGGTATACTCGAACATGCGATAATTACGAAGGAATTTCACGACATAATTACATCGGAATAATAAATTGCGTAACSGTTTCCGAGTGGGATCGAAGAGATAAAAAAAAAATTAAAATAATAACAGTATTATACGGAAAACGGTCGGTACAAATAAAATCCCGTGGAGGCCGGCGCTCATAAGACTAATGTATTATTATAATAGGAAAGTCATAWATGTCTGTATATTTACTTTACAAACATAATATTATAATACGGTGGTAGACTTTTTCATTGTTTCGATACCTTGTAATCAGTTATTAACACCGTGTATCATGCGACTGGGTTAATATTATTGTTATAAAGATAAACAATATGGGAATAGAAGTTCATTGTCCATCGGCTACATAGTATGATGTATTGTGATAGGATTTTAAGAAGCTGAGGTGAAGAACAAATAAAAAAATAAAATCGAATAGGTAGGTTGTAGTAATGCGCGTAATTATTCGTAAAATATTTATTATTGTTATTATGACGTCGCGGGTTTACCTATTTGTAGCTACGCGGCGATGACCGACATAAAAATCGTTACGATAGCGCGTTATTACGATACGATCATATTATTATCGTTTCGCATTCAATATTATCRAAACGGGCGAAACGGCCCGGATTCGTGGTGTCTTACCGTGACGGGAATTGTGTTTTTTTTTTTCAGACGCAATCAACATCACTGTGTCAATACCGACCGACGGTGGCGTGTGCATATAATATATTGGTAATAATAATTTGTAATATATTTGATATTATGTTAGAACTTATAAACGTTATATCATATTATTACCTCTGCATTGTGTATTTGGAGCAACGTCGAGGCGGTTTTCGCCCTCGGGGGTAATGAACCGCAATATACTATATCATTATATCACTATTATTGCTATTATTATTATAGCTGGTACCTATGCACATATTGCACGCGTACGCCCTTCATAATAATGGTACCGCAAGTACAAACGCAATGGACAAATTATTGTTATATTATTATTATATTGTATAAACAATAAACGTAARATGATACATTTAATAATATTATATATTTATAACGATGTGAGGTTTAGTATGATTCACCCTGCAAAACCAATACTGAAAATTCTACGAATTTATAGCAAGCGAATATAMCGACATGATCGATAACGATCTATTGTAGTAGTTATCTAGATCTGATAGTACCCGTCATAGTCGTACCAACGATTTAAGATGGTATCTTATCGGCCGTAYCAAACGTATCGATATTGAGGTTCGTTGACGAACAGTGGTGACAGTAAATAGGCCGCGGTATGAGTGTATGACTACGAGTTATTATTATGTTCTGGTTTTAGCGCGTATCGCGTATGTGTTATAATAATAAGCTACACATTTTTTCCATACACGTTTTAAATCATCTATTTTAACGATTGCACATTTAAATATTATGCATACGTGATGTATACTGTGGTATGACATTATATAAACATAAACCATTGACATAATATTATGATCAATATTTTCGTTTCGTGACTATTGGGAAGTTCAGAAAAAAAAAAAAATCTATAATATTTTGTTTACTATTATGATGCTAATTTAAGTTGAGTATGTATTATGCATTTTTATTTTATACTGTTGACAAAAGCGTCATGCAACTGAATAATTACTAATACGTGTTTAGCAAAAAAAAATGTTCATCGTCCCAAGAGAACACCAACAAACGAGATAATCATTTCGGCGGAGTACACAATACATTCATGGCCTACCAACAATGAACCGTTTCTTTTTCAACTAACAGATAATATTTAAAAATAAAAACCATGCACTATTCTCAGGCATATTAAAATAAAATACTCACACGAGTGATGATCTGAAAAGGATTTATAATATAATAAATTATACCAAAATCACTGAGATCCAAAAAAATAATGATAGGTAGTCATTAGCGGTAGGCAGCGGCTAAATTAAAATTACGAATTCTCTTGGACAAAAAATATATATCAACTGCACTCATTAAATTAACATTAAAATATATGTTTTTGAGAATCTCGAACGTAATTATTATTTAACTATATCTTCAATTTAGCCAGAAAAGTATCTGACATTTGAATTGGTTAAAATTATAATACGATTATGGGCAATTATGGAAAAATATTTTTAATTAGCTTTATTTGTTGTATTAACAATTACAAACAACGGGAAAACGGATACAACAGTCGTTCTACAAATAATTCACTAATCGGTCAAATGCGCGATAACGATTTTTTTCGTTTTAATTGTGATTATTTAAGACGCGTGTATTTAATGTTTTATTAATGAATCATTTCTAATGTGTTTTCAGCTGCGTGTGAACTGTAATACAACAACAGTATTGTATTTTGTCCATAAAGTAGATCTAATATTTTATGCAGTCTATTATTTTTATACCCGAGAATACTTTGTTAATACGGAAACAATTTTAAATCCGTTCCGATAAGTATCTTTTATAGCAATTGTAAAATAAAAACAATAATAATGTTTTAGTGCTGTAACGAATTCGGCGAATTCTATAAGCGCTTAAAATCAAAACGATGTATAATATCTTATAATACATATTATTATAAAATGGTAGGTATATAAAATGTTCACTATTCATCTCGAGTATATTATGTGCTTCGAACGGATCGAACGTATTCAAGTCATCTCACCTATTAAAACTCAGATACTCGTAACATGCATAATATCAAGCATAATATTATATATACGGTAAAAATCTAAATTTTTAATATTCACGATGAAAGTGCATATTCATAAGCGATTATATTAAAACGATTATATTTTTATCATTGTATCACGAAAATTCCGAGGAACTTCAATGCTGAGGAAACAAATTCTCATGTACGCACGCCGATACTAGAGAAACGCAGAAAGACGAAATTAGCGGCCAACATATTGTTAGGTTCCTTGTAACGGGCGTGCATAATATATTTCGATTCATTGCGAAAACCGTTTTGGTCCACACGTTCATTAAAAACAAAGTACGCTGATTACTCCTTGGCAGCAACCTTGAACTATAATTGCATTATGACAAAAAGTACGATGAACCCAATCCACTGCAGATTTCGACTGTACACATAACATTAAATTTACGGTGGATTGGGAGTCGTAATATTTGCTACGGRCCATATCTGTTGCGAAAATATTTTATACATTTTTCAAGTGCCTACTCGGGTACGTTATATTTACGTTATTACCTATCTATTTATAAAACATTTAATGCGATAAAAAAATATATATATATAAAGCTGGTTTGAAGAATGAATTCGAATGAAGTGGACATTTTATTATTCGACGAGATTATGAAAAAAAAAACTATGTAAATCCATTGGTACACTAAATACACACTTATATTAGTTTATAGTTATATTTTATAAATAAATTKCCGCCGAGTGATTTACAATARCATCATAYAATACTATAAAATAAGAATAACTACTTAAGGTATAGGTAAAATTATATGATTTAATATAATGTTAAGAATTATGTGATAAACTTGCACAAAATTACCATATAATATTGTAGGTACCTACTACATTTATGGTTGAAAAATTTTATGGTGAAAATGTACGGACAATTGAAATCGCGTCTCTAGGRAGTTTTTTTTTAGTCACACTCGTTACTCAGGGATAGGTCGGGTGTGTGAAATAATAATATACTATAACCATTTATAATATACTAAAAAGCTTTCAAACGCCATCGTTTCATTTTATTTGGACGTATAATTTTTACTCAACTATTTTGATTTTATTACACGATACAAAGTTATTACTTTTTTTTCTACTGTAACTCACACGCAATTTAATAGAATAATAATATTAAACATGACTATGTGAGTAAGCGAAATATAATTGTTATTGATGGTGTTCTCATTTTACACGCGTTTCATAAACTCATAGTATAATAATGTAATAAATTATAATATATTAAATAACAACACCGACCCAGCCAGATCGCGAGTTGTTGCAACAACGACAAGATGCTAGTACTAAGTTGACAGTGTGTATTGGTTACTAACATCTCGCGTATTGTCTTGGGCGTGCGGAGATTTGAATGCTGGGAACGGGGCGCAGATGAATGGTATCGCGGTGGAGCTGAGGCGCCGATCGCGCGACGGGAAGAGGAATCGCGAAAAAAAAAATTATCTCTAAAGAACGTTATCGACGTCAACGACGCAAAGCGTCGTCGTCGGTTTGATGCAATTCGCCAACAATTTTTAGTACGGTAGTAGTACCGCAGTAAATAAAATAATATTAATATGGAAACTCACGATTGGTTTGTGTGCGGCGTGCGGGCTGTCTGCGGCGTTCAGGACGGAGCGTTATCCATGTGGCGCTCGCGTACGAGTTGTCGAAAAAAAAAAAAATCGTAAAAACGTCAAATTGTTGTTTTTCCACGACCTGCGAGTGAAACTGCCGTCGTCGTTGATTTTTTTTTTTTAAATAAAAATATGCTCGATGTCAATAATAACGAGTATTTAGTCGTCGCGTATCGGACGCGGAAAAATAAAAATAATATCGTTTGATAATAATATTTATAAACGTCGACCGGTGTGGCTATCAAGCGAGCTCGCGAACGCGAATGCAATCGCGTACGAATAATAAATACACACTGACGGACGACACCGCGCGAAACGGAGTGAGAAATAACAAAAATGAAAAACCAAATAGGTRGGTAACAGCGGTTAACGCCGTGTCGCGACAGTACTTGCTGGGCGGACGCGACGGAAGCGACTGCCGCCGGTTGCCGCGTCGCTGCCGTGCCGCTGCGATTATATTATTATTATTATTACTATTACTATTATTACTATTACCATATCACTATAATATTATTATTGCCATTACTATTACTATTACTTCTACTATAATATATTATTATTATTATCGTTGTTGTGGTATGACGCCGCCTCCGCGCGTACAGTACGATACACGTCGGTGGGGAGGCCAACGGGCTCTCCCGCCAAACTGCATCGCGGCCCCCACCGTCGCGCCGCACGACCGACGGCTACGTACGGCGGCGGCGGCGGCGGCCGGTAGACGCGTGTCCACGGCGGCAGTGCCCGCGCGGCGTCCGTTGGCTTGTTGATAACTACAGTTGCGCCGGTACGTCGTTTGTGTAGATATTATACCTACACCGTAATGTAGGTGCGATAATGTCATGCTATAAGGACATTTCGAAAAACCATCGGAACAATTACAATGATAATATAACGATGTACCCGTAGAGGTGGCGGGTTTCGAGCGACAGACCGCGGACGATTAGCATATTTTTATTTTTTTGGTCTGACGGTCAATAATATTATTATGTGGGGACGTGTGATGTCGGCCTCCACCCGCAACCATTCAAAAATCATAAGATTATATTGTATGATATTAAAATAATACATTTTTCAAAATCTWTTCCATTATGACGTATCGATATGAAAAATACCAATTAATAATCAAATCAGTTTTCCAAGCGTGCGTATACACATCGTAAAGAAACCGATTCGTTTGTCGTTTCATATTATTTCTCTTAGTAAACCTAATCCCAAAATCCACAGGTGTCAGTCAGACTAGATTCGCAATTTGGTATCAGATTGTAGTTTAAAATAAGCCGACGGGACCTCCACGGCTCCACGGAATGAAATGTCGAGAGTAACGGCTTATACCCAATATGCACTAAGCCCTATAATATTCTATTTCGGAACATTGCAGCTGCTAATATGATCATCAACTGTGATATTATTATAGCTTATGATTTATAAGATTAACGTCAGATGAATTGATTCAATGATTAATTTAGATTTTCATATTATCTGTACAACTTATGCGACGTAGATATACGCGTATATACGACTATGTTAATATTTAAAAATGGACMGATTGTTTCATGTTATGTTATTATCTGGTCTATTCAAAATGTTGAAAGTAGACGAAATATTTTATCGAATATCGATAAATTTTAATAAAATATTGGTAATATCGATAGTAGGGTATAATGGGTATACRCCACGSAGCTTATATATATTATAATATTGTGTAAACAAGGTCATACCTGTGGGTCATATAAACTCATAACTACAYGGATAAAACTATTGGTGCTGGAGTACCTATATAGGGAGTGGAAATATAAAAGATTATTAATTTTATCATTTCGTTATTAAAATATTATTCATTTTTTTATACCATCGTTTGGTAAGATAAGTAATTATGCGATGGTGATCCGCAGAAGACGGAAACTCCTAATAACATTCGATACAATATTATATTTTATAATATTTTGTATATTTTATTTAGTTATTGTAAATATATTTCCGGTTATATTACAAATTTATCATATTATGCGGAGCATGACTTGAGTAGTTTTTTGCTCTTGGAATATTCCAAAATTCATATTTTAATGCATAATATATAATATATAGGATAAGTCTATAGCATAATAAAGACGTTGCGCTCGCATTTGGTCTATTTTACGCGCTACACAATAATTGTATAATGCGACGCGTATATCCATGGGCTACAGCTAATTTCTATTCAGATAATAACCGTAATGTAGTCCACTAGGTGTGTTAAAGACGTTAGTGAGCTAGATTCTGTTGGTCTTAAAATTAATTACAATACATACATTATAGCTGTGATGAATAATAATTCATAGTAAACACGAATATAACAGCTAATATAAGCTAATATTAGTATACCATGGTACTACGGTGTAGGTTAGCATATTATTTTCTACACGTACTACAATATACCTATATTGTATAATATAATATAATATTACTATGATATTTAGGTTATAAAATAAATCTCTCCTTATACCTATCAATTATCATATAAGGATAGGTACAACTATAKTGCAATTTTATATTTAATTTTGGATTTAAGTAGGTTTATATTTTATTATAATTATTTCAGTTGTGTATTATGTGAAATATTTTTGAACAAATATCGAAATATCATACTCGAATAACGAGCAAAAATAATATTGTGTATGTTTTTATATTATACAATTGTTGTTAGGCAATACAAGTAATAATAACGCTCAAAAATAAAATGTTAAAACACGATGATTTTAATAACTACAAATTAAATATGTATACCTATAAATGCAATATTGTTTATATTAAATAATATAATATATCTTATGAAATATATCAATCCCTCTACTAATTAAATAGAGGTACCTATGTATGTATGGTGTATGGTACATTTATTAGCATTCGACTTCGAGCATCAGTCTATCAGTAAGTTTATCCAATGTTTGTATCTTCTGCAATCAATTCATGACAAATCATGATTCCATACCTATATCGAAATCACATTATATAATTTATATAATTATATAATAATCAGTCATGATTACTATAGTGTAGGCGTAATTTGGTCAAAACGATTAAAGTTTATATTTAATAACTCGCTATATGTTCAGCTGTATACTGCAGAAATTGTTTAAGTTCCTACACTAATCACCTACATAATATAATAATATATTATGGTATCCGAAACAGTATATAGTTCCAGCTCTACTGATTATTATAAATTTCATAGCGGTCCAACTTCACGCTTCACGCCAACCAAACATTCGAAAACAATATTTTATATATTATTACCATTTACCACTACAATAATAATACATGTCCTGTAGGTTAGRTTAGGTACCTACATGGCTATATGTGGAATGTAACGGTGCTACCATACAAACAGCTAAGTATTATACCAATACACCTATATTGATGTGTGATGGTGTGTAAAAGTTGGCCCGAGATTATAACTTAACTTTTGATAATTCTTTTTTAATCTGTGAACCTGCCAATGGCGTATAGTAAAACACCGTTTTAAAAATACCTAACTATATGCATAGAATGACCTGTTTTCCATAACCTCTTCACTAATTACTATGTTTTTGAAAATCTCGAATACTTCAGCAGTGTTAGTATTATAATAATTAGCATTCACGTTTATTGAATCGTATATGTTTTATAGGTACTTTTCTAAAATCGTATAATCGGAATGTAATCAATAATTGTTATCATGGAGTCATGGAGATAAACTGAATACACCAATTTAAAACGTTTTGTTTGTTTATTTATTGAATATTATGATAATGCACGTGTTTTGACATCACGGTTTTTAAATAAATACGTTCTATGTTATTACATTTAATTACTAAAATACCATCGAAATTTCAAAAGTGAATTTTTATAAGCGAAGAAATCTTACAGGTATGTATTATTTATCATTCAATAGCTAATTAAGTGTAATTTACATTTGTAGTTTGAATACATTAATTTATTAACTTAATGTTTGATATGAAGCTCGATAACTTTTAATAGTCATATCTTGTGGGGGRGAATCGTATGGTTGTATTATATTGTACGATTTTACTACATTGATTTTTTGACAATTTCTATGGTTAAATTTAAACGACTTAGTAGTACTAAAATGTTTTGTTTTTATTAGTATGGTTCGCAATTATATTCTAAAATCAAACCGACATTCGTGGTTGGAAGATGATTATGAAAGTTGCTATATTAGCTGTGGTGGAAGGAAGTATCACTTACGATGCAGCACTTCTATTCGTTACGAATCTTAACGTTAAAAGATAGAGTCAAAAAAGTTAAAGAAAGAAAATTAAATGTACAACAATATGGGTGAATGTACAGTGTGGATGAAAAGATACATTTAATTATTACACAATATTATGGTAATTTGTTTGATAGTTTTATTATTACAGATAATTTCTTATTAAGAAAACTATTTTTTTTTTTTATTTTTTTTTTTGATATCAGATAACATATTTGGTGTTTATTATACAACCTGGACTTCACACTAGGCCCCAATCTTAAAAATAATTTAGATTTATTGAATTTTTTAGAACACTCTAAACTGTAGGTATAATCATATTCATATATATTTTTTTTAAATGTACATTCCATTTCATTTATAACCGATCTTTGTAAATATCGATGCAGGGGCGTACCCAAGGGAAGGGGTTTTCGGGTCTGGACCTCCCCATGGATTGACAGGATTTAAAATTCATATGGTGCAAACCACWCATTGTATAATATGGTTGATAATTGATATTGTATATTTGCATTATTATTATCGGTCTCTCCCGTTCGGTTGACACCACCTACCAAATTATAAACACCATTTTTTTTTTTTTTTTCCCCGTTTTAATCGACGACGCCGCGGGATCTGCTTTCGCATTGCTTCCGCGGCGCCGCCATCGTTTATTGACAGTATCAAATATTAATACATACGTGGGAGGCAGACGGGACAGCTCCCCGACTTACCTCGTTCAAGCATTTCAAAGTTTTGATTTAACAATTTAATTTTACATTAACAAAGGTCAATCTGAATTTTATGCATTACAAGTTTTACTTGACTTCTTCCTGTCCTTCTCGGCCGACCGGAGTCCGCCGCCCTTGAATTCGCGTGCCTGTCATCCGATTGGCGAGCCGACCGGAGTCCACCACTCTGGATGTTTCGTTCTTCATCAGGGCGGTCGCACGGTATGCTTATTGCTTTTACCATTTAAAGAGTTTATGAATAAACATTTTTGTTGGACATTCAATGACATCATTTTTTATGCTTTTTACATGTTTTGATCAATTTGGACCCCCCACCTTTTGAAAAATTCTTGGATACGCCCCTGTATCGTTGTAAACACTTATTCACGCATATTTTTTAACTTTCTGTAACTAATGGCGTTTGGTGTCTATGTTTTTTTGTGAACAATA